AACCTCCAAAAGCTAGGTGCATTCATTGCACTTCTTAGACAATTCTTTTTCATTTAGCTCTATATGTTAAGAGTTTCACTCCATGTTTCCCCATGGGAGTGACTGCAAGTGTGTGTGTATAAAATACAACAGAAATGCAAATTATTAGCTTCCAATTACTTTAACAGTATTTAGTGGTCATTTAACAATCATATACAGAGAGTAAGAGTGTTTATTAAGATCTGTATGTGCCCATTAAACAACTGCTAATGACTGTTAAAGACCATCCCAATGCTGGGACCTTCTGCAAGTCTATTATACTTCTCTCTCTCTCTCTCTCTCTCTCTCTCTCTCACACACACACACACACACACACACACACACACACACACACACACACACACACACACACGAGCAAAACATGCTGCTTATATACTACTCTATTATAGCGCTTAAAGCACTCTGGTTGGTTTACAATTGAATTATGCAGGCTTCACATTGCCCCCCCCCTAGCAAGCTGGGTCCTCTGTTTACCAACCTCAGAAGAATGAAAGTCTGAGTAAATCTTGAGCTGGCTACCTGGGATTGAACCCAGGTCATGAACAGAGTTTTGGCTGCAGTACTGCAGTTTAACCACAAGGCTCCATCACGATTGCATATGCCCAAATGTCTGTGTACTGAGGCTACATTCCATACAACTTAAAAAATACTGTAGGCTACATTCTATGGAGCTTATATCAAATAAAACTTCTTAGTCTTTCAGGAGTCCCAACACTCGTTGTTTTTGCAATAAATTGATAGAAAAGTCTGTATGTCCTATGTTGTTCAAATCATAAGTTTGAGAAGCTCCAAATCAAGATATTCTACCAGTTGTTTTTGTTTGTTTGCTGCTTTTTTGCTGTAAATTACTCTTTACTCTTCCACTGCATCTGTTTAAACAGTAGATTGAAGACAAAAAAAGCTGTCTCAGCAATAAGATGATAGATGGACCTAATCCAGACCAGAAGCACATTCTTGACAAAGGCCCTGTTTTGTTTTTTAATGTTGGCCACAGGCCAATTTAAATCTGCCTTTTCCAAAGTATAGGGACGTGGTGGTGCTGCGGGTTAAACCACAGAAGCCTCTGTGCCGCCAGGTCAGAAGACCAGCAGTCGTAAGATTGAATCCACGCGACGGAGTGAGCTCCTGTTGCTTGTCCCAGCTCCTGCCAACCTAGCAGTTCGAAAGCATGTAAATGCGAATAGACAAATAGGTACCACCATGGTGGGAAGGTCACGGTGTTCCGTGCCTAGTTGTGCTGACCATGTGACCACGAAAACTGTCTATGGACAAATACTGGCTCTACGGCTTGGAAACGGGGATGAGCACCACCCCCTAGAGTTGGACATGACTTGCCTAAAATTTACCTTTACCTTTCCAAAGTACAGTATAACCTCACACATAATGTAGCTACTACATTAGCTGCTATGCTAATTCTTTGCCAAATCAGCTAATGTAGTTGACTACCGTGTTTTCCTGAAAATAAGACAGAGTCTTATATTAATTTTTGTTCCAAAAAACACATTAGGGCTTATTTTCAGGGGATGTTTTATTTTACCGTCATGTCATCTTCTTCTGCACAATGGTGGAGGGCAGGGTTTCACTTAACTAGGGCTTATTTTGGGGGTAGGGCTTATATTATGAGCATCCTGAAAAATCATACTAGGGCTTATTTTCAGGTTAGGTCTTATTTTTCAGGGAAACAGGGTAGTATTAAATTAATAGTTGTTTGTCATCTATTAAGTTTCAACTGAGTGCATAATGTGATCATGAAGGGATAGCAGTTTGGAATATCATGGGAGTCCAGGCAGCTTGAAATCAAAGTAGGGTTATGTGTGACCCAATCCAAGATTTTGCTTGCTTGGACTAAGAACTGTCATGTTAGGAACATGAAGGAGAAAGGGTTGAAAAGTAAATGTCATACCCGAAAGTGAACCTGGGTTGGGTGGAAAAACAAACAGGGAAACTGGGGGTGTGTGACAGTGATCCTCAGCTCTCTGAAGGTTATCCACCTCTAACATCTCATCATCATGACATTAAGCAGAGAGGGTGTAACACTCCACCAGAGATATATGCTTAGGGGGAAACTGTGGTATTTCACTAGTAGAAAGAGTAATACAGCCTGCTACTTTGGATATTAAAATATTAATCTGTGGACGGAAGGCCCATGGTATGTTTATTTGTAAGAGATTAGTTAGCTTGCCCTGGCATGCCAGCCTCTCACAGCAAGCAGCAATCCTTGCAGTATGGTTTGAAAGGCTATCGAGTACGAATAATGGGCCCGGCTATCTCTCAATGCTTCTCAGCCTTGGGTCCCTAGATGTTCTTGGACTACAACTCCCAGAAATCCTGGCCAGCACAGCTAGTGGTGAAGGCTTCTGAGAGTTTTAGTTGAATAACATCTGGGGACCTGAAGATGAGAATTACTGCTCTAGAGATAGTTCCTTTTTAGTCCTCCCAACCTTCTCTGCAAACCCCTCTGCCTGCCTTGTCCTCTTCTCAGTCTCTAACTTCTGCTCTTCAGGACTAAATAGTGCAGGAGGACATAGTGCAGGAGGACACACTGGACAGGATCACACATAATTTCCAGAGAGAATAACATCTGGGGACCTGAAGATGAGAATTACTGCTCTAGAGATAGTTCCTTTTTAGTCCTCCCAACCTTCTCTGCAAACCCCTCTGCCTGCCTTGTCCTCTTCTCAGTCTCTAACTTCTGCTCTTCAGGACTAAATAGTGCAGGAGGACATAGTGCAGGAGGACACACTGGACAGGATCACACATAATTTCCAGAGAGTTTTGGAAATTGTACACTCTCTCTCACTCTCCCACCGTATTCTAGAACAACTTGTCATAAATTTAAAAGCCAAAAAGCCGATTGAATCAGCAGCTGTCTTGCCCCAATGCATGACGAGTCGCATAGTCGTATTTTCCATGTTGAAATTAAAATGAGTCAACATTCTGGCTTGTTGAACTAGGCTTACAAATGTGTCAGTATTTTTCCCCAGGTCGTAACTCATGATAACAATGTAGGAAAGAATTCAAATTGGATTGAATGAAGATATTTCTCATGCCTCTCGGTTGTATGCAATGCAGATCCCAGCAAAAGTGGGGAACTTTGGGAGAGAAGCAAGAAATACATGTCCAGGCGCATACACACATGTTGGCACATCTCCCATGGTGGATTAGCTCAAGATCTCTCTATTTATG